CTACGGACTGGTACGACAGAAAGCTTGGCTAAGATGATAGCAGTAGCAACTTCCTTGCTGCACTTCCAAACCAATGTGGCCTTCAAAACGAGTACGTTGACCAGCACGAGCCTGTTTCTGAACAGGAATGATCTTCAAAAGCTCAACATTCAGTTCTGACCCAATGAAGAAATCGATTATTTCATCTTCCTTGGCCACCTCCTCTACCACCACTAGCAAATCCACCACGGAAACCGCCACGACCACCGGCTGGAGCTGTGTCCGCCATTGTTCATTACTTCCTCCAACACTGTTGTCGAACGAACACAATTCGGGTTTCACATACATTTTTTGTCTCTTTTCATCCAAAGCCTCAAATTCTCAGCCTCTCTGTTCTTTTATTGCATTACCGGCAGTTAAGGTTTTCGTCGTAAAGCCTTATTTTGTTCAGAATTCCTCTGTAATTCTTCTGAGTCGATCCCTGCTCCGTTGAAGTAGTTTTTCGGTTTTTCCCAGATAGACCCTTCATGAAAGTTTTTCTCCTGGGTGTTCTTCATGTTTCTTATAGACCCGTTATCCAATCTGGTTACGCACTGGTTCACAGCCTTCAAATAGAGTTGAGGATCCGTATTTAGCCCACTCGTCAGCTTTTCTATTGCCCATGAATGTCACAGCACCCAGCACCCAGTATGAAATCAATCTATTCCTTTTTGTCAGCTTCTTCAGTTCGTCACGTCATTTTCCGACCAGTTTCGATGTCACTTGGGATTCGTCAGTGCGCCCTGCATCTTTGAAGGTGATGTGAAAGATTGGCTTCTATTTTGAGACCAATCTATGCTAATATAAATGTGAAAGTTTGTGAGGATGGATGTATATATGTATTTTTGTAGTTCTTTCACGCCTAAACGACTGAACGGATTTAGATGAAACTTCACATAAATTCAGCTCTTACATCAGAATAACATATAAGCTACAATTTACAAAGGTTTTGTGTAATTTTGTAAGTATTGAGTAAGTCGGAAAAATTCTTGCTCCCGGAAATCTACATTGGCGTGCGCTGCCTATCTATACCGTTGGAGATACTTGCAGATAAAGTACCGTAAGATTGTTTATCTTGTATAATTCTAAATAAAAATCTGAGACAGCATTTATCTACCTCCTATGTGGTAGCCACTATATGAAAAATACTTAGCCATAAATACAATTAAATTGGACACTTTTTGTACAAAGCACATTACAGAATATTTGTCAAATTATTATAGAAATTGATACAATTGTCGTTTTGAGTATTCAATAAAAACTTTGTCTTTTACTCTGAATAGTTTGGAGGAATCGTTCAAAAGTTATCACGATAAGATTTACTTGACGAAACGCAGTAAGCCATTACGAGTTGCGTCTACTGTAAGACGACGGGTGACGATGCGCGGGGATAGAGGGGTGGTCTAAGAAATGAAGCGCCATCTCCGAGAACGTGACCGGAACGCGGGCAGACGCTTGAGGACACACGTCGTTGGCGGTTGTGTTAGTTTCGCGAATTTCTTTATAGGTAATATAATTCCATTCTCAAAGCTATTCAGTTGGCATATTTTTTAGTTACTGTATTTTTGAAGCAAAAATATAAATTACTAGCTGTTGTCCGCTCTTATATTAATGTACAGCCGAAGCTACTGAGTAAACAAGCATCAAGAAAGATTGCCCATAGATTGCACTGAATTTCGTCACTTCTGACGTTGGACACCTGAAGTTTTGGATTAATAAAAACTATTGCAACTATTTGTTTAAAATGGTCTGTCACGAAACTCAATGTGACAAACCAAAGTCGAACCGAGGGCAACAACTAGTTCAATCATATACAGGGCTATTCAAATTCATGTCTGTACAGGGGATCTCGTAAACGATTAGAGATAGAGTGTCGGTTAAATTATGGCAAAGTTGCGTATTATAAAGACCTATTCAATGATGTGCAGAAATCGAATATAGCTCTTTTGGTTCTGGAGATATACAGGAAAAACCAAAAAATCCCAAATTATTTTTTTGGCTATATCTTCTTTATTCGCAGACATATTGAAAATCTGTCCACATTTTGCTATTGGCACTTGATGTGGGTTCTTACAATATATCCATGAATCTTTCATACAGGGTGTCATCTGACTTAGGCTACCCCATATTTGAATTATTAAATACAGACCTGTATTTTTTGTCGTAGTTTTTGGATCGTAGACGTTCACTTCATACTGAGAAATTAATTTCAATTTTATATTTCGGGATTTTTCGGTAATATTCGATTATGATTTCGTGAATTATTCCCTTTTGAATTACGGCCCTGGAAATTGGTTGACTGAGTTGAATAAAAACACAATGACAACTTTCACGTCTCCCTATGTACCGTAGAGTTTTTCGAGAGTTTTTTTTCATTTTTAGGTAATAATTCACACAATTATAATCGAATATTACCGAAAAATCCCGAAATATAAAATTTAATTTAATTTCTCAGTATGAAGTGAACGTCTACGATCCAAAAACTACAACAAAAAATACAGGTCCGTATTTAAAAATTCATAGATGGGGGTGTCCCAAGTCAGATGACACCCTGTATAAAAGATTCAAATGTGGACAGATTTTCAATATGTCTGCGAATAAAGAAGATATAGACAAAAACATTATTTGGGATTTTTTTGTTTTTCCTCTATGTCTCCAGAATATAGCTCTTTTAGTTCTGGAGAACCAAAAGAGCTATATTCGATTTCTTTACATCATTGAATAGGTCTCTAAAATACACAACTTTGCCACGATTTAACCGACACTCTATCTCTTATCGTTTACGAGATCCCCATGTACAGAAACGAATTTGAATAGCCCTGTATATTACGATGTAAATCTTGCAAAGAAAGATATATCAAAATATCTTCTGCAAGTAAACATTTCTGATTTTCATGATAACGATTCACCGATGGATGACCTTCTTCAGCTGAAGCATCGAATACAGGTATTATAATTACAACTCTCTAATCTCCCGATAAGTGGTGATAATCACAACTATAAAACACGATACGGTACTCGCTTGCAGATACCACAACATAGAACAACCCTGTTCGAAAATGCCCTTCCTTTACAGGGGTTCAACTATACAATAAGCTGCCTGGGGATATTGCGAGTGAGAGGAATTACAGAATATTCAAAAACAAATTGAGAAAACTTCTAATCAGTGAATGTTACTATAAAGTTGATGAATTTTTTATTGAGTGACTATGGTGCCTGAATGCATTTTAAATGTATTTTAAATATGTATTTTATACTCTTAGGTATATGACCGGTGATAATTATCAGAATATTCCTTTATAATTCTTACTATTATTCAAGATTTTATATATACATGTGCTGTGTTCTCTTTTTTTAACTGTTCCGATATCATTTGAATTGTGATCTGACTGGAATAAAATTATTATCATTATTATTATTATTATCTTCGTAGAAGGGCTATTTTCTTCAATTACAGGAAGATCTGGTAAATACTGGCGTGGATTCTATAGTTTTGATAATGACATTTCTTCTATTACAATTCTTTTATTCAACCAATTTCGGAAAACCATATCATATCATTTACCTTCAACTTTTTAGTGAGACTGCACATATATGCAATGGTGCAGAAAATGAAATAGTGATAAATCCCGTAGGTATTCAACGAACATGACTGCCAGTTATGGAGATGGCAAGAAAAAATTCACTCACTAACCAGTTTCCTTATGGTAAATAAATAAGACACAGAATTGAAAAAAAAATCAAAAAAGAAACAGATTTTGATTTGTTCAGCGATGTTGACTGCTTTTTTTTATCCACAGTGTTTGCATTGACTCATGTAGATCTGAGTCAGTTCTACTATTCAGAACATCTCCTGAATTTGTTCACATTTGAGCATGTCCTAAAGTCTATGGAATGGTTTTGTTGCAAAATATGTTGAGCGACTGCTGATTTTTCTGGTCTTCCATATTTTAGATGTGCCAAGTGTTCCGTATATCTTATTTTAATAAATATTTTTGTCTATCCATAATATTTTGCATCGAAGTCCTTACATTTGATTTCGTAAATTCCAGACTTCTTCAAATTCTCGACTTCGTCCTTTGGATTTCCTGAAAGGCTCTGTAGTGTATGACTTGTTTTAAAAACCACCTTCATACCTAGTTCATTAAAATTAGTTAGACAAGTTAACAACAACAGGCATCTAGATGCCTATGAGAGTATAGAAATAAGTAACCATAATAAATAATATTATGAATTACGAACGTGGACCAATTCCTAATTGTATACTTATATTCAATTTAATCTTGCTCTTGAAGATGATCACTTGGTGGTCGAAACATGTGTCGAGGTGTTGAAATAACGGTTTGGTGTTGGCAAAAAACTCCAGTAATATTCATTACTACACCAAAGATTCCAAACAGTGCATCACAAGTGTCACATGAAAGACGATTAAAGTATATTTTAAGCATGTTATTACCAAAATATTTTTGCTGTTTTCGGTCTTCAATATTGGCAGATGTTTCAACGAGTACATCACGCCATCTATGGGATAGACAGAAGATTCAATCCATGGAGATATTCGAGGCTCTCCAATACATTCGTGGCAATACATTCGTGGTTCCGTCTAGCACCGCTGATGAGACCTTGAGCGTTGCCTGGTCTTGGAACCTATTACGTAAGCTTCGTTTGTCAGCTTGGGTTTCCATTTCAATGGAAGTTCGGCGGTCGATATCAAAGTTTGGTTTTGCAATAGACCGCATTGAGAAGCCTCTTTTATCTTTGATATTCGTGAATTTATTCTTCTGTCGATTTCATAAATGATGTCTTCGTAAAGGAATATGTCATTGCCTTTGTTTTTTAGTGATAGCTGAGCAACAGCAATGCATTCATGGTTTAGCCTGGCACCACTGAAGATACCTTGGAGGGTTAATACCGTGCTATCTGATCTTATCTGATGGGACCTTATTTCCTCAAAAATATTGGGTTTGGAGAAAAATCAATCATTTTCATTAAAGGCTATTTATTTCAGATAATAAAATATATGCCATTGAGTATAACAATTATATATCAATCAACAATATATAAAGATAAAGATAAACTATCATCAAGTAGTAAGTATCACATACAAAATGTGTCCAAAACTGCGGAAAATATTCATTATAGCTTATTCAACACCAAAATAAATTAAATGAACCCTTGATAGTGATCTCAGCTTATTTCAGATCCCCTCACAGATGCTTCCACCTTTGAGTTATATCCCAAGCCGCTGGATGCTTCAATATTTCCTGTGAAAATAAAGTGGTGTAAATCGGGCTACAACGTTGATAAATATTGGTTGACGTGAATTTATACTGAAAAAATATTCCACGTAGTCGATATGTCACAGAGTATTCAAAAAAATTTAATAGAAATTCAGATGTTTGAGTAAGGCGGAGAGCTATATTTTCACTGAAACTGAAGAATGGGGAATGAATAACTGAATTGATGTGTTTTTATTTCACGTCAAAAGTGAATGTAATTGAATATGTCGTCTGGGTGATTGGTATTAAGACCATGACGAAACTAATTGTAAAATAGGTTAGGTAGGTAGGTCTAAAGTGAGTGGGTCTATTCGACCCTCCACCGCAACCCGTAAGGGTTTATTGTGGCTCACACCTCGACCAAATAAAACCATCTTCCCAACGAAGCCGATTAGTTTGTTTGGTGAGTGGTCTTTCAGGTCAGATGATCAGAGTACGGCTTTACCTGATTCGGTCCCCAGCGGGGCAGGCACAAATTATGTGCTCTGCTGTTCCATCATTTTCCAAACAGAAGCGACACACACTGTCTTCCGACAGTCTGAGTCTCTGCATATGATGTGTGAAATAACTTGTCAATATGAAAAATTGAATTTTTACCATTCAAACCGTCCGATAATTTTCATATCGTACAACTAATCTGCTTTGTAACTTACTACTACATAACTTCCTTTGAATATACAGGGTACACAAATCGATTTTTTCAAAGGAATGCTTTACTCTGAATTGTTAGAGATTCGTTTGTTCAATTATGCTACTGTGATAATTTTTTCGATTCCTCATAAGCTGGTAAAGATTTAAAGTGAAGAAACACTTGGTCATCACAAGTTTTGAATATACTCCGTATTGCGTATTCGAAAATAAAAAAATATATAGAGTATTCTATTGAAAATTCGAATTTTTGCGAAACCAGAAATACCACAAACTTAGCATAGCATATCAAAATTCTTACTCATGAATTTCATTTGGATTTCCATTTTCTAATATAATATGATATGAAATCTCTGAAATATCAAATGAAAATGAAAATTAAAATGAATAGCTGAAAATAACCATTATATTAAGCAAAAAAAATATGAAAAGAAATTACAATAAAATAAAAATTATGCAAAAAATTAAAAATTGAACAATGGGGAATGTTCTTCAATTTGGGTTATTACAGCAAATGCAAGTTTGAACAAAATAAAGTTGAGTTTAATTCATGAGTTTATCAAATTCACTTCGAAAAGTATTCAAATTTATGTTTCAAATGTTGGGTTTTGATTTTTAAAGGGATTTGTTCCTAATTCACATATTGGCAACAGCGCCTATATCAAGTTGGAATAATTTATACGTACCTAGATATTCTACTTCAAAAAAGGAAAATTATCTTTATAAATCAACAATAAAGGCAAAATATAAATTATAGTTCAATACCACCTCCACAAGCCACATNAATATAAATTATAGTTCAATACCACCTCCACAAGCCACATAAACAACAGTTGTTTTGTTATTTATTTATATAGAGGAAGATAGGTTACGTGCACAAAATGTCATATGCCACAGAATGTCTCGGAATTTGGAACATAAGTAAACAGCTATAACCGATGTTGCCAAATGGTGAAATAGAAATGAATCCCTTTAAATGTTGAATGCATTATTTCATTCCTCTTTTTTAAGTATTTGAATGATTTTTTTAAGAAAAAGGTTGAAATGATAAATTTAAAAGGCGTTGTTTAAGAGCTCTTTTATGAAAACTACTTGATTTTTGTCAGGAAGAACATTCCCCATTATGTTTAAAATATGTTTTTCCATTAACCAGCTATCGCACCCCTACGAACGACAACCCTCAGAAGTCGAAACTTGTGCGAGCTAAGGAATAACGAGGTCTTAACTTTTTTAACGTATGATTCCTAACACGGGTTGGACGATACCAAGTGAAAGTCGAGCGTTCAGCCTGGGGCTTGAACCATCGACTCACATATCGGCCGATTGACTGAGCACCCACGTCGAACCGCCCGGCTACCAAAATGAAATAAAAACAAAAAGTCAAAAGATTTCAAGCCAAGTTACTTCACGACGTTTCGATTGTTAGTATCCACAATCGTCTTTTTTGCATGATTTCCACATCTTTGTATACAGTTAATTTTTGAAATCAATTGGAGATGGAGATGATGATGAAGATGGAGAAGTAAAAAGCCAAAAAATTTTTTCTTGCAAATAAATTTTGTGATATTTTCAAGACCTATAGATTAACCAGAAAATGATATTTATAAAATTCCACTCTACAATTAATCATTTCAAACTTTTTGAAAAAATAATAAAAATAGTTAAGGACATCATAATCAGTGATCGGCATTGTTTCTTCTCCCCTATGTTGATAGAAACTAATTTAATAGGATTCACCGATTTTTTGTTGAACTCGATGGATAAACAGTTTCAGGTGAACGTTGTTTACACTGACTTCAAGAAGGCCTTTGATAAGATCAGTTACCAAATTTCATTACAGAGACTTGCTGAAGTCGGTGTGACTATGATCCTATTTGAACAACAGGACAGAAATTGTGGCCATAAATGTATTCACGTCATCTCCTTTCACGGTATTCTGCTGTGCAGAATATGGCACACATTATGTACATAAACGAAATCTCTAGTTGCTTCAATAAGTGCAAATTTCTACTTCATGCCGAGATTTGAAAATCTGTCATATGGTAAAGGGTTCAGATGATAGCGGAGAATTTGAAGCGCCTCAAAAAATTCTGTGATGATAATGATTTTTTTCTCAATCCACAAAAATTCGTGTCAATTTCGTTCTCCAGAAACAAAAATATAATCAGATAACTATTATTTTAAAAATCATGAACTGCAATCAGTTCCAGAAGTTGAAGATATTGAGACTCGAAGTATCATTCAATTTAGTTTTAGCACTTTAGAAAGTTAACAAGTTTTTGAATTTGATGATTGAATGCTAATGCAAAAATCTGTATCAGTTCAGATTTGAGTCAATCATTCAGAATTCGAAAATACACACCTATTTTTATACAACATTGCTCCTCAATTTTGTACTAGAAATTTCATTACTCTCTATCCATTTCCCGAGTTCCAATGGAAGCTCTGGCTTCTGCCTTTTAGCAATTTCAACATCACAATCTGGATTTTTGACCAGAAGGTCCTTCATTATTTCCTCCGCATTGCACTTCGTTAATCTTGCTTTACACATAACAATAGCATTGATGAAGTTGTCACCTGGAGTGACGAAACGGTGCTCCATGTAGATATTCTGGTCATCCCAGTATATTATCTGAAAAATAGATATTGTGAATGAAATATGAAAATATTTCAATGCGTGAAAAAACAGTGAAAAATTAAAGTGGAATACTAACAATTGAAATCAAATAGTGCCCCCATATACCAGAACTGAAACACTTCCCCCGATTCACGTTCCACCAATCAAGTTGATGTTTTCAGGAGATTCCTAACTTCATGTATCTATTGTATCTAATTGGCTAGAATATACTTCCACTTTGAGACACACAGCATTGATTCTTGGGTACAAATGGCATTTAATTTCTTCGTGAAAGATCAACTAATTTTGAATAGAGTGATACCTGTGAAGATGAATTTATTAGGAAACATACATTTACGGTGACTCTTCGTAAATCTTCCATTAATCAAAAATAATATTACTTTTCCATATGAATCAAGATACAATAATGAATTGAAAAGGCATTTTCGAAAAAAGGGACGTGCGTGAAAGTAGCTTCCAAAAATGCTTGCTGACCTCAACACATATTAGGTAACCCTAACGACAAGATTTTGGAAAATGGAGTGAGCTACGAGGACTGTGATAAAAAGTATATCGGCCCTACTGAACCGACTAATGAAAGTCGTTTCAAAGAACACGGTGCACAAATCTGATTCAGGGGACCAGAAGAGTCCAGAGTGGAGAACGAAGGTTGAACAGATTCTGTCTGAAATTGTACATGACACTAGACTTTTGGATGCTTCAGAAAATCTGGAAATAGCTAAATGTGGCATGAGAACTATGAACAGCAGCTGAGATTCTATTCCAAACAGCTCATTGTTCATCAGTAGGGATATAAATCACTTTGCGTTTGAAATTATTGGGGACTTTCACGAGAAAATTTCCATACAATCTGTACCCATTGTATTGATATGTGACTGAGTGAAAGAATATCCAGTTAGACATAAACAGACGAGTTTTGTAGTTAAGAATTAGTGTACTTCATGTCCAGAAGACAACAACTTGGTAGGTAGGAACGCGCGTCGAAAAGAGTGTTGCAGTTTTGGTGTTTTGAAGCATTGCCTGTTTGGGATTCATTCTACGCTAGGTTTCAGTAATAATCACAATTTGATAGGTTTTAGATCTCAAACCCTTAATGATATCTGTGAAATACATGAAATGATTGGAAGAAGACAAATTTTCTGTTCAATGTGGGACACCGATTCATGTATATTCAATCAAAATTAATTATTCAGTGATCCTTGAAAATTTGATTATATTGGAGCAGAGTACATTTCAATGGGCGATTGAAAATGACCCTGTCAATTTTTGAGATTTTCAAAAGTATATGTTTCTATATACGATAATTTTTGAATAAATGGAAAGAAGAACCTGGGTCCGTTGTCCCACCCTCGATGGAAATACTTCACATATTGTCTCCGGTCTGGATTCCTGGCCATACTAGCCTGGATGAGGCTGCTGACTCCCTTGCAAAGGAGGGTGCTATAAGCAGCTTTATCGGACCAGAACCTGTCATTGGCATCGCTTTAGACTTTTCCAAACAAAGATTGAACACGTGGATGGCAAGCAGATTTACGGAATTCTGTCAGAATCTTCCAGGATTGGCTCCCTCCAAGGCGTTTATTCACCCTTCAAAGCTTGATACCAAACAGTTGTTGAATTGAAGTAGGGATGAACTACGATGTCTAACATGCCTTCTTACAGACCACTCTCATCATATGCAGAGACTCGGACTGTCGGAAGACAGTGTGTGTCGCCTCTGTTTGGAAAATTATGAAACAGCAGAGCACATACTTTGTGCTTGCCCCGCTGGGGAACGAATCAGGTTTTTAGAGTTCGGCAGAGCCGTAGTCTTACCATTTGACCTGAAAGACCACTCACCATACGAACTAATTGGCTTCGTTAAGAAGCTGGGTTTATTTGGTCGAGTGTGAATAGGTGTGAGCCACTATAAACCCTTGCGGGTTACGGTGGAGGGTCGAATAGACCCGCTCACTCTGGACCTAACCTAAGCTAACCTAACCATTGCCCCACGACAAATGAAACTTCTGTTGAAGTGGTAAAGTGAAGGATCGGTAAAAATCATCGATTTTTGGTAGGTTTTTTTAAATAGCATTGAAGTGACTTTTTAACAATCACCCCTACCTTTACATTTCTATTTATAAATTTTATATCACGTTAATTACCAATTTGGGACCTATGTATGCCATCATCGTCACTTCTTCCAGGTTTGGAGACCAGCTCCCCTACTCTTTTGGCTGATTATTGGCCTTGAGAGGGACCAATGGGTACACAACTGATAGATGACGGCATGAAGTCCTAAGACATCAGTGCCGCCCTTCACGAGATACCCCTACCTGGCTGGGGTGGGGTGGATGAAAAAGTTATTCGTCCGTTAACGGGGGACATGAGGGCCTCATTCGACAGAGTGTCGGGGCCTTTTATATCGGGAGGGGTCGTCTACAGCATAATCTGTGGCTTCCCTAACTAAAGGGTTTTCATGAGTTTCCGTTTTTTCGAAAACTCTCTCATTCCTCGACTGGATGGACTGCCGAATGGAAGGCAGCTGCAAATCTCTGCGGATGGCTTCATTCCGCACGAACCAAGGAGCATTCACAATCATCCTAATTAACTTATTTTGTAACCTTTCCAAAATGGAAATGTTGGATGGAGCCGCTTGTCCCCAGACGCCTGAAGCGTACATGATGACAGGCTTGAACATCGTGTTATAGATCGTAATTTTGTTTTTCATACTCATCTTTGATTTTCTGTTGATCAGAGGGTACAGACTGACTATCCGACCCTCGATCTTAGATTTGACGTACATAATGTGCGGGTTCCAAGTGAGCCTACGGTCTATCAGAAGGCCGAGGTACTTTACCCGCGCTTGCCAGTCAATCTCCCTTCCAGAGATTCTCACTTTTCTGGCCGGAGAAGATAGTAATCTTCCCATGGTTATCGCCTGAGTCTTTTCCGGGTTTACTCGGATCTTCCAATCGAGGTACCAGCGCTCGAGGTCGTCCAATGCTCGTTGCATGTAGACGACGCCGAGCTCTCGTCCCATGGAAGATGAGAGAAGAGCCGTGTCATCGGCGTACAGGGATATCTTTTCTCGCTCGGACCTAGGCAGGTCGCTGGTGTAGAGTGAATACAGCGTCGGAGAGAGCACGGCCCCCTGTGACACTCCAGCGAGGATCTGTCTGTTGTCAGACAGAGAGCCCTCTACTCTGACCTGAAAAGTTCTGCCTTTCAGGAAAGACCCGATCCACCGGATCAGGCCCCGAGGTAGGTCGAATGCGTTTAGCTTGTGCAGAAGGCCTTCGTGCCATACTCGGTCGAAGGCCTTCGAGATGTCTAAAAGCACAATATGCACCTTTTTATTAGTATTGAGCTCGCTGATGGTATTTTCGACCAACCTTAGAGCCTGTAGTTCAGTGGAGTGATCTCTCCTGAAGCCGAATGGGACCTATGTATATGTTTATATGTATATTATGTACTACATGATCTGAAGGAAAGTATCGGGCCTAACACTTAGATGTCGCTAGTCTTACTGCATTCACCACTTTTTCAGCTAGTACTAACCTTCAAAGGAAATCTGTTGAAATTTCATGATATTCTACTCATAAGTTTTGAGTTATTGTGCTGCGAGTGACACTACAGGTTGTTAAATCTAGGAAGCGACTTCAAAGTCTTGGTGTCGGACCTTCCCTAAGATGCGCGTTCGTTAGGATACTGTGTGTGTGTGAGAGAGAGACAGAATTCTCAAATCTTTTTCTCTTTTGATAAACTGTACTTTTGTTATTTGCAAAACAATGTATCAAAAACAATTTTGTATTTTAATTTTACACTGCTTCTTGGTAGAATTGTTATGAGGACTCCGCTTCATCAGAAGCAACAATTAAACGTTGGTTTTCTGACTCCAAACGTGGTCATAGAGACACCATTGGTGCAGAACGCAGTGGACGTCCAAATGAGGCAATCACACCAAAAAACTTTTTAAAAATCCACAAAATCGTTCAGAATGATCGAAAAGTGAAGTTGCTTGAGTTAGCTGACAACGTGTTTACTTTAAATTGCATGAGCATTTGACTATGAGATAGCAAAGTGGATGTCGCCACAGACCATATACCCTAGACGGTTCACGTAGGTTACTTCACCTTGAATCCCTTTTTTAGTACCGATACAAATCTTATGATGGCACTGTAAATTTGTTCTTTGGTTTTATGTCACGGACCCACATATATTCATGTGACTCATGTGTTGTTGTTGTCTGACTGTGTACCCTAGTGATTATTTATTTCGTTATTTTGATTGTTTTACAATGGTTTACCACAACAAATGTTGCGTTCCTTATTGCAAAAGTATATCTAGTATAAGACATGCGTTCCCTAATTCAGATAAAGATATAAATAGGTTCAAGATATGAATACTGGTAATTAATCACTTGGAACTGATGGAACTGGACCCAAAAGAAGTTTACGGTTCTAGAAGGCTGTGTGATAGTCATTTTGAGGCAAAATAAATTTCCGGTCTCACAAGTTTTTGGAAACGCTGTTCCAACTCTAAATCTTCCTGATGAGTAATAGTATATTATGCAACGATCATGTAATGATGGTTATTAAGACACGAGCATTAACCGGGATACGAAACGAGCCGAAGGCGAGTTTTGTATGGTATATGCGAGTGTATTAATAACCATTACATGAGAGTTGCATACGCTATTTTTTCTAAACCCGATAAATAATGAAAAACTATAAATATTATATTTGTATTGAACACATTTACAGTAATTAACTCATATTTTTTTAAAAAAACACAAACTTAATGGTATTATCATGGATATATGAAAACTATAAAGATTCTAATTATATTTATATTGAATATAACAACTGTAATTAATCTGATCTTTTAAAAATATTGCAGTCGATGGTATTCCTTCTTTATCGCTGTTTTCAGACATTTTGATAATATAGGTAGGTAATATGAAAACTGATTTTGACAAATAAAGCAATTAGTTATTTAGGTTAGAATCCAGG